ACAAAAACATAACCTCTCTTAGAAGCTATGAGTAGTGATTTTTAGTAATTAAAACACTGTCCCATAAATGGTGTTAAAGACACTCCTATAAGTTTTTAAGGCACTGGCCAAGGCTCATACCTTAAATTTTCTACAAGTATCTTGCAATCATTGCGTAAACTACTATAATTTCATACTGTAGTTGTTAGAAGTGCCACACTTAAGTATGGTAATATTTGTTCCAGTTTAAATTTATCCAATAAATAACATTGATAGAATATTAAATAAAATAACAAGTTTGTAACTACACCAAATTGATACTTGTGAAAACACTAATCTAGATCTTAACTCTTAATTATAATTTTAGATTCAAAATGTATCATTGCTCTTTCAACTCAAAAAGTGTTTAAGTACCAGAAGGAACATGAAGAAGAATATGGTACCTTTCTCTAAAATATTGATGAGAAAGGTATATTATTTTTTGTGATGAAGTGTAAGCAATGCACTGATAAACAACATAAACTTCCACATATAATTATTTAAAATAACTAGCTTTGATTTTATACAGTACTTATTGGATATGTAGAATAAATATATAAAACATAACATAAACTTCCACATATAATTATTAAAGATGTTTAAAATAACTAGCTTCGATTATATACAGTACTTATTGGATATGTAGAATAAATATATAAAAGCTCAAATTTAAATAAAGCTCTTTGAACACCCACAAAAATTATTTCAAACAGCAAAACTATGTAAAGCTCAAAACATCAGGTACTAAAATATTGCAATAACTGGACAGGAATATAGACCTACACTAAGGTAATTTGTTGTAAGCTAAACAATGTATATTAATTAGCAGCTTAGAGCTACCGGTATCATATGATGTGGTTTGTAAATAGTTATGTACTGTGTATTTATATATTAGTAAGTTACTGTAAACTTACATAATAGAAAATAAATAAAAGAAACGTCTTTTAACACTTAAAACTTATATTTACCTGTTACTCACAAGCCGGTAAATATACAAAAAAAATGGTAAGTGGTGATCGATTTTGATTGGACACTCCAATCATCAACAGACCCAATAATAGGCGAATTGGGTCTGATGATGTTTGGAGTGTCCAATCGATATTGATCACCACTTACCATCTTTTTTATATATTTACCCTTGTGAGTAATAGTATAAGCGTAAATATATGTTTTAAGTGTTATAAGACGTTTCTTTTATTTACTTTCTGTAAATTTAATAACATGTACAATGCTGATCAAGAAGTTACTTACATAATATACTTCCCTATCGTTTTGGTATGGAAAATTTCAGTTAATCTAACGGCTAACAAAGACAGACAGCTGAATATGGAGATGTTTGCAGCCCTGATAGGAGAATGTGTGTATGAACATTAGTAAATTTATTTTTAAGACGTACCAATTTTGTATAACGGATAACAGTAAGAAACCGCTTTGCCCAAGGGATGATGATATATCACAAATTTAACAAGTAGGCCCTAAATACAATGTTTAAATAGAAATAGGTATGTTCATTCATTAACCAATATAAGAAAGTTGCAAAAAACTTAAACCAACAAACAACTAGTAAACCAAACCTCAATATACTAACTTTTGTTCTATAAAGGTAAAATAAACGGTAGGCTACAAAGGTTTATGGGTATACAATTTTAAAACACTTACGATCTAATAATTTTTTTTTCAGTGAACATAGGATGGTTTTTCTAAATACAAAAAAAAGAAAAAACACTACTAAATATCAGCAACAAGGGAAGAACTACGACTTATAATTAACAACTTTTTCAATAAAAGACATATAGATAATAGCAAACAATACTTGTCAATTTATTTCCTTTCTAACTACAAATATTCTAAAACTTGTGCAAATAAGCTCCTTAAGTTGGTGTTAGTTTACTTTGGTGTGTAGAAGAAATCAATTTTCTTTGCTGGCTCATAAAATAGGTAGTATAGCGTAATACTAAAAGTTGACTACTATTTGCAACATTGGACAGTTAAATTTGTATAATTAAATATTTCTCTATTCTAATTTTAGACCATGTTTTCACATCTTATTTTAGAAACTTGAAAAATGTGAAAAACAAAAACACCTTAATAAGTAGTGACAAACTACAATAGCTTACTTTTGGAAGTTTCCTCAAAATTTTAATTTCTAAAATCAGTTCTAATATTTTTCAGTATAAAAAAAAATTTAAAAGATTTGTATAAAACATTAAAGGTAGGTTTTTTCTAATTTGGAATACATGCTAAATTTACTTGTTACTTTATAAATGTATACATTTTTCTAAGATAATTTTTAATCACACGAAAGCTACAATAATGATCACAATGACAATAATGATAGTTGAATCATCTTAATAGTTAAAAATAAAACACGCATATTTTTGAAATAAGCTTAATTTGTTACAAGGTATACCCTCTCTAGTATTATAATTTAAAACTCTGAATGGTTGAGTTTTTTGAAACTTTATAAACAAATCTTCAATTGTATAGACCAGTATAACTTATGAAATACCTAGACATTTCTTTAAAATAACAAATTTTAATCATTTAGGAGAATACAGGGTGTTTTTTTCTAACACAGCCCAAATTAAAATTACTATAAGACACTGTTTAACAACAGAACAAGCTCACATTTTGGTATCCCTTATTAATCTTTACTGCATTGCCAATCAGCTGAATATGCATTGTTGCGTTAAAAAAACACCCTGTTGTTACAACATTTAAAATAAACTACACAGGCTATATCAGTTTATTAGGTGATCAACATCTGTAATAAATAGATCAATAATCTGTATTTTATTATATTATATTGTTAAAACCTTCTTCGAATAAGCTATAATTTAGAACTTTTAAACACACAGACACACTGTGTATAGAACTTCACACATAGAACTTGTAGAACATGTCTCTCACTTTATACTGATGGAAGTGTTTACAAAAAAGCAGTATTTTAAGATAAAATTAAGACCAACCTAGTTAACTTAATAAAATAATTAATATCATATTCAGAGAAAACTCTTTGTCAAAACTGATTTTTTTTTTATCTTATCACCATTCCCATGAAATTGAATTCTTGTTATAAAACCTAAAATTAAGTATCACAAAACTCACAATTCGGCTACATAGACTTATTTGATAAGATTTATATATATATAAGTGGAAATCTTGACATTCAAGCCCTCTTACTTAATAGCCCAGGCAAATTAGACATATGCTCCCCAAAAAATCGTCTAAAGCTGGAAAGTGTTTTAATACCTTTTGGGGGTCCCAAATAAGACTCCTGTGAGTTTGCGACGGATTCTGACGTCTGCTTAAGTTTTGGGAGTCGAAAAACTATGAAAATTTTGCACTTTTTTCAGTTTTTCGCTTATAACTCCTAAATAACGAATCCTAAGGAAAATGTTGTCCGAAGGTGTCTTTTAGTGCATTAAATTCCGCGTCGATTGATGTTAAATACGTCGAAATCGGCCGAGCCGTTTAGCCGCTGTAGCTTTTCAAAGTTGGGATATTTTCAATAACATGGCCAGAAGGTTAATTATTTGACCAGTTTTCGGCTTACAACTCCTAAACGACACATGCTATACAAAAATGCACCTGTAGTTAGTTTGGAAAACACAAAATTCTGCGTATGATGTTTTTTTTTTATTAATCAATAACGGCAACTCAATTCCATGATCCGTTTTTCATTTTCATATTTTGATTTTGAAATATAGACATTTTTAACAAAAAAATTGCAATATTTGATAAATAAAACTTGGTAACAAAAAATGGATTGCGGCATTGAATTTAGCTTAAAAAAATAGATCGAAATGATGGGTCACAACACCCCCTTCACATTTAAAATAATTTATCACATTTCAAAATGGCGGATCTCAGATGGCGGCCGATAAAAATACATCAGTCATAACCAAGTGAAAATAGGTCAACAATGACTGGTAGTGTATACTTATCATTATCTAGCACTATTTTGAGATTATGGTCTTAGTTTGTACATGCAAAATGTTAAAATGGGGTAAAAATAAAGTTTTAAAAAGCCCCCATAACTTTGGAATGAATCAAGATTGTTAAAAACGGTTTGTGGCATTGTAATTAGGGTAAAAATCTAGTTCGAAATATTGGGTCACAACCCCACCTTTACGTTTGAAAAAAATATTTTGGATCCAATATGGTGGATCCAAGATGGCGGCCGGAAATGACCACCTTGTCAAAATGAAGTACTTACTACCCAACAATGTTTGGAAGTGGTCTGGGATTGATAGTCGAAAAAATGTAGAAAAAGTTGGGGGGGGACAATTAAAACTCACCCTGTATAATGGATGGTTGGGATATGAATCCTAGAATTTTCGAGACCTCAGACAAAAATATTAGACTTAAAATTACATAGGGTGTCTTACCCTCATCACACCTTATTAGATAAACCTCTGGATGACCATCATGGAATAAACCACTATCTAATAATTCATAATCCATTTCAGGACAGGATCTATGTTGTTACAAATTTTAGTAAAATTTCCCAACTTTAACTTTAATACTTTTTCAATGAAATGGCGACCATACAAAGTAGGTAACAATCAATTGCCGTTATTGATTAATAAAAAAAAACATCATACGCAGAATTTTGTGTTTTCCAAACTAACTACAGGTGCATTTTTGTATAGCATGCGTCGTTTAGGAGTTATAAGCCGAAAACTGGTCAATAATCAACCTTTTGGCCATGTTATTGAAAATATCCCAACTTTGAAAAGCTACAGCGGCTAAACGGCTCGACCGATTTTGGCGTATTTAACATCAATCGACGCGAAATGTAATGCACTAAAAGACACCTTTGGACAACATTTTCCATAGGATTCGTTATTTAGGAGTTATAAGCTAAAAACTGAAAAAAGTGCAAAATTTTCATAGTTTTTCGACTCCCAAAATTTAAGCAGACGTCAGAATCCGTCGCAAACTCACAGGAGTCTTATTTGGGACCCCCAAAAGGTATTAAAACACTTTCCAGCTTTAGACGATTTTTTGGGGAGCACACCCTATATTTGATCTAATTTGCCTGGACTATAAGTGTTACAATCCTTTGGAGCGAATTGTCTGAAACCAAACATGTATAAATAGTTAACACAAGTAGTGCTCAGTACATCCTACTTTCTTAATGTTGTATAGGTCTAATTATTTGATGAATAGGCGATTAGCAAAAACTAGCTTCTATGACAGCAGGTGCACTAATTTATGAATATTTTGGAAAGAGGGAGGCATTAACAATGGTAGTTGGGTAATCAAGAAATAGGGGTCCCAGAGTTATGTTAAAATTTTGGAGAAAATTAAAGAAAAACTGTAAATTTAAAATTTGCGTTCTTTTTTATTGAGAATAAACAGTTGTAGTTTGTGGTTTAAGAAATATATATGGATTGAATTTGGCAAATATTTTGTACTATAACATTTCACTAAAAAGCACACCTTATTACTTTCCCTGTTTCAGCAAACCTAAGTACTCATTAACTATTAAAATATGGCTATTGTCTAATAAGGCAAATTTAAATTCACTTAGTCTGCAAGTTAGCTGTGACGGAAAATTGTTTACACCCCACTACATTATTTGGACGAACTTCCCACGCAAGGATTTAGTCCAGAATACAGCTGTTTGCCGCCAGCTTATTCAAATGGGGTTTCATTGCGTACTACTGTACTGCAATGAGTTTTACATGACACCAATCAGCTGATTATACTGTATTTAGGTGGCAGTGAGTGGTTATAAACAAAAACAAAACCAGAGGTTATGACTAGTGATTTTTAGTCCTTTAGTTGGTGGAAATATATAAGGATTTGTACGGATTTAGTAGTATGGCGTAAACTATTGTATGTAACTCGTCCAAAATGTGTGTACCGGACTCGTAAACACTTATTTTCAGGACTAGTAACGTAATATACTATTACAACCTACCTGAAAGACCTGGTAGGAAGTGTCACTTAGCAGCTTTTATGTCTCGACACTCGTTTCCTCCTTGTCATCATTAACCAGCAACGGTCTTTGGTCTGCTAAGGAAACTCTTCTGTGAAGTACTAGCACTGACCTATTAAAAACATTGTAAACATTTACAGTTAAAGAGTGTTCGACAAAGTGAGATAAAGTTAGAAATCAAATCAAATCATCTTTATTTTGCACAGAAAAAAACTGTATAATAGCGTCACAAGAATATATAATAAAACTAAATTATAAATGCTGTTAGAACTAAAACGTAACTGAACAGTATCTTAATTCGATCGGCAACTTAAAAAAATCTTTCACAGTGTAGGGAGCTTGTTCTAAGAGTATGCGTTTGACCGCTCTCCCAAATTTGTCTTTGTCTTGCTCCACTTTCAGGGGTTCAGGCAACACATTGAAAAACCTGATACTATTATAAAATAGGTGTCTCTCAAAGAAACTTGTCCTGTGCTTAGGTAGCTTAATGTTGTTTTTTTGTCTGAGAGTGTACTGCATTTGTCTGAAATGAAACATCAGAAGACAAAGGACAAGACTCAGATAGTTTATTAATGTGAGAGGAAAGAATTTCCGAACTATTCTACAGTAGTAAGACCGAAACTTTAAATTTTGAAACATCTTCAACTGCGGTGTAGTTATCAGCCTACTGCAAGACACACTTACCCTATAAGGAAGACAGATATGAGGCACAGCCCTGTCGACAGCCAGAACACAGCATTAGGGTAGGTGTCTATTGTAGCTTTGTATACAAAACCATACAGAGGAGCAGCCATCAGTGGAGCAGTGGCTTCTAGGAATGCGGTGAAGGCAAAAATCTTACCTGCAACCAACACAATTAATTGAATGACCAAGAAGATGTATTACAACCAGATAAGTTTGATTTGTTTTTGTAATTATATTTTTGTTTATTTTCCCAATTTCGCTAAGTTGGCGTTAAATCAAAATTCAGCAAATCGCACAACTTTGCTACATTTCTCGGGGATGGAATTAACATTACATGGGTAATGCCGGCAGAGCCTTAAACAGTGGCCATATTGAGATTTACTGAATATCACAAAAAACTTTTTTTTATCTAACATTTTGTAATTAAAAATATATGTTAAAATGTCAGTTCGTTTGGACCACCCTGTATATATTTCTGTAAGTACTCATTATAGGCGTACACAAGTTTTGTGGTTTTGGTGTGTCCATTCATACCATCTAGTTAGTACTAAATTCAGTAAATTCAGTTATTTTACAGTCTTGGCTGGCTTTGTTTACTAGTATTGTTATGCTTTAGATACTCAGGGGTGCTTTAGGGGTCAGGTATTGTTTAATCTAATGAGACAGGAGATTAAATTAGTAGGCATTGAGTCCATCCATAGTCATCAGAAACACTAGGGGTCCGTGGGTCTTCAATATTTTCAGGTTAAGTCCAGCTAACGGTTGGCCCGGGATCAGCTCGGGCCAGAAATAATTTTTTCACTACACTGTGATGTTTTTAGCAGTTTTACATACGTTAATTGCTGGCTAAAAGTTACATTTTGCTGGCCATGCCAGCTGCCGTCATTTAGGGACCGAGCAGGTTTTTCCATCCCTAGGGCCGCAAAATCAGCTGCCCGCTTACTTTCTTAAAACATGAATGGATATTAAATACACAACCATTATCCATAGCATTGCAATAGAATTATTTATTGTCACCGTTGCCTAGCAACTATTTATTATTATTTTCGCTGATTCCTCAAATTATTTCTTCACATAACCTTAAAGTTGCAGTTGTGTTGACTATCAGTGTGCATTATTATTGTGGTGAATACTGGTACAATAGACTCCCTCTTATCCGGACTCCTCGGGACCGAGGCCAGTCCGGATAACGGTTTTTCTGGTTAAACCGAGGTCCCCAAAATCTCGTTAAAACGGACCGTTTAAATGCATACTCTCTACAGCATTTGACTTAAAATTAGCATTGTATTTAGACACATAATCACTGGTCTTAAATCTTTCCCACGAGAACAGGTGTTTCAGTACCGCCCACTTTCTGCCAATCTAGTCCGGTTAAACCGCTGTGCTGATAAAAATTATCCAGATAAAGAGATGTCACTTCTACCGATTGGAGTACCTACGGTCAAACCGATGTTCGGTTAAAATGTGTCCGGATAAGAGGGAGTCTGCTGTAATAGGGTATAGTGTGGTGAAAAATAGCGTTTGTCCCACTGTCGAAATGGTTTTGCAGCTCTCGATCATTTAAGTCCACGACTTTGTTCCGAACTTCGAACATCTCGAGCCGGCAAAACCACATTTTCAGCCCTAGGTACGAAATATACTATTGGGTCAAGCTTGGGTCAGGTAATTTTTTTTTAAAGGTTAGCCAGCAGCTCCGTTTAAAATAAAGCATATTTAATGGAATAACATGATTTCTATGTGATGCACAGTCAAAAAATTAATGATTTCACTATAATTGAGAGTGATGTTATTGATTTTGTCCTGAGCAAGGAGAATGTTCTAAATTTTGCTTGTGACCGTGGAAGATAGATATTCAGGATTTCGCAGTGATTACAGTTACAATTATATTTTTAATCACTTCTACTTTCCAAAATAGGCTTGAACTCGATTTTGGCCTGCGACCCTTTTCAAATATTTTTACCGGAGCCAACCTGACCTACTCCACTCACCTAAATCTTCCGGAGGTATGAGCTTGGACAGCTGTGACCTTGACAGCGGTGTCACCAGCACAGAGAGGACACTGAAGCTTCCAGCAATGTACAGGTAGACACTAGAGGTGGCAATGGCCTGCAACAGTGACTTGCACACCAAACAGACTGTCCCAACAAACATCAGCGGTAGATCTGGCATCTTCAGTACAGATACCAACAGCCACAGACTGCCTATGACTGATGACCCTATAGAGAACAATACACAAAGTAGATTAAAAACTCATTGAAGCCTCGAAGAGGGCCTATAATTTGTAATTACCGCGCTTGGCATTTATATAAGAACTGGAAGCCAGCTGAAATTCGTTACACCATTGCTGTCTCCTTAAATCAGAACATGCAGTGGGGATTCATGCTCAGTGATTTCTACCTACTTTACTCTTAGCAATAGCAGCAGATGATGATGATGATGTCTACACGACCGCGGAAGATGTTCAGGAATTTGCCATGACCGTGGGAGGCAATGATGATGTCCACAGGACCGCAAGAAATTATCATAATTTCGCTGTGATTATGGGAGACGATAATGGTGACTACATAACTGTAGGAGACGATGATGATGTCTACATAGCCGTGAGAGATATTCAGTATATTACCATGGTTACAGAAGAAGTTCAGTTGATAACGTTTCTGTGACCACGGAAGACGATGGTGATGTTTCCTTGATTGCTGAGCGATATTCAAGATTTTTATGCAACCGTGAAAGACGATTATGATATCTCCACAACTACAAAAGATGATAACGATTTTACTTTGAGTTATTACTTACTCTTACTTCAATGGCCATCGATACACTAGAATGGTTTTGGCCTCGCAAACAATTGCTCCCCATCTTTCCCGGGCGTATGCCTCATCTACTTCACCAAATGCGATGTCTGTTCTCAAACTGTCCCACCATCTTCTTTTAGGCCTTCCAGGTGGTCTTCTCCCGTTCGGCTGCCCTTCTCCTACTTCCTTCAATAGTGTTCCTAATCCCTTTTCAAGACATGCCCAGGCCATCTTATCTCTCTAACTCTCCCATGTGCTGTAATATCATAATTGTAGTCTCTGTATGAGTTTTGTATTTCTTCATTATGACTGATTCTCCACTCTGCATTAGGACCAATTACTTTGAGTTAGGAGATAAAAAATCTCAGGTTGGCTTGTTAAATAATAATTTTTTTAATATCTTAATTTACCATTGATAGAGTATTTATTTTATGTGTTTGGAAGGGTTTTATCTTAAATTGACTAATAAGCATTATTCATTGCGACATTCTTTACTTGAAAAACACCCCATTACCCTCAAATTGCTTTATGGAAGGACATAAAGACCTTTAAACAGTGTCACCTACTCACATTGATTCTACTAAAGGAAATGTTTATTTTTGTGGACAAAGTGGGTTTTCATTAGTGTTTAATGTACGATTTCATTCTAAATTCTATATACAACAATACAGTATTTAACTAGTAAGATAAAACAATTAGACTGGTAACTAAAATAGTCTCAAGCCTTAGTTTTTACCTGCAACTAAAATCAAGAATGATGTGAATCTTGTGTAGTCCTCTAACTGCCAGTTAAACTTCTTCTGCGTGAACATGTATAGAACAGCCAATTCACCTGAAATACAAATTATGTGATAAATGAACCGATTGTTATTACACTCACTACAAACATGGGAGCAGAGCCCTTAGAGATTTTTCAACTGGGAATAAGACAGAAACCTTCCCAGGCACAAAATAAATATATACAGTTTGATGGAGATGTATACAGTACAAACAGATAGACATACTTATTACATACAGAAGAAATAACACTTTTACTTAGCTTACCGTCCATATTAACGATGAATAACACCAAGTTGATAATTATACACATCACTATAGTGCGAATATGGTTTGGGCGGAATAGGAAGCAGGTTGTGAATATTTCCTTAACGTGGTCGATTTTCCACAACTTTGTGCGTTCACTCTGGAATAAATATGATTGGTTTCAATGACAGGTCTATTTGAAAGGTCGATTTTAAACAATTAATCTTACTTTAACACTTCAACATTAGATTTAGAGGTCACATGTTCTTTTATCATCTAAATTGAACTTAGAAAAATTATTTTGGATTTTAAAGTTCATGTTTTGAAAACTTACCTCAACAACATTCACCGATTCCTTGAGAAAAAAGTAGACGAACAGGAAGATGAGCATCATCAAAGAAGTGCCTAAAGCAAACACAATCGTGTAGCCGAACTGAGGCGAGGTGTTCAAAACATATGGAGTGAGCAGTGAGGAACACAGCACACCCGCCATACACGATGCTTCTGCCAAACCCATCCTTGAATGGTAGAACAAGCGTTAAAACAATACGGTAGGAATATAGCTCAGCAATAACTGTACTGCAAGTTCTTATATATTTTTAGAGATGGGCAAGTTACCATCCTTGATTTTTCAATACCATAGTGGAGGCCATCTGTAAAGTTTGCGTTATTGCATTTTTTTTAGATTTCACCTCGACTGTGAGATATTCTTCAATTGGTTGTACATCAACAATTCTTCAATATCCCCAGTATAAAATGTTCACAAGATTTCAGTATTATTGTCCTGTACCTAGTTTAATGTTAGACCTTGAAAATCACAAAACAATCCAAAATATTTTTGTGATTGACAAAAATTATGGTTTATTCATGCTTTAAAGCTCTCCATCCAAGTGTACCATCTTCAATGAGGAACTTAAATCCAATGATTCTAGGAAGGTAGTGGACTTTAAAAATAAAGGGCTGCAAATCTTGAATTTGGATAAAAAAACCTTGCATTTTCATTTAACTACTAGGCTTTAACTTTTAAGTGTAAGGTATTAGAAAAGACAAACCAGGCTATATTATTCAAATCAGATTGCATTAGTTGAATTTTTTGGCCACCTTAATAAACCTTATGGATGCTGACCTGAAAGCCCTCTGATCTTCTTTAGTAGTATCACTGATGTAGCAATAGAGTGCAAGGAAGAAACTGACATAACCTCCTCCTAGAGCTACTGGCACAGAAGTGAGCAGGAAGTACATAGGATGTAGTTGAGGAAACAGTGACATTACACACCACATCACCGTGGACACAATATAACCTGCAAACATTCAATAAAACATGTAGAACATTGTTATTAAGTTTTAGCTTGCAGAAGACAGACTTTTTATGTATCTAGTATTAAGTAGGCCTATCTTATGTGATTGTGTTAATAATCCAACCAAGTGAGGTAGCATCATGTCGCCTTACGATCAGAAGGTTTGAATATCAAACCGACCCTTTCTGAGGGTTTGTACAGTTTCTTTTTTCACTTAGGCAAATGCTGGAATGGTTTCCTCAAAGCCCATACCCCGCCACGCAGAATGGAAGACAGGACTCGGTCCTGATTTTGTTTGGTTTGTCAAACTCCAAGTAGGTGACCCATAAATAAATTAGCTAACCGAAAAATTTACCATGAATGTTTTTTTCTGTTCCTTATTCAAGTTACCCAAAAACAATGATTTTTTTGACAATTTAGAGAACTAAAGACTGCTGTTTTCCGGACAATATGATGAAAAAATATCTTATCAGTGTATGTGTGTTGAATTCAAATTTAACTGATTGGTAATTGGTAATTTAACTATGGAACCGTAACAATGATTCTCAGATTTACCGTCAAACTTTAGTCAGTTACTGGTGTCTTAATCTAATGCCAATTATGGGAAATAAAAAAAATGTGAAATAACCTGTTTTCACCTTTTCATTGTAGAAATAATCTGCAACAACCCCTTGACAAATAAATGTTCTTCCGAAATAAACTTCTACTAAAGGATTAACACTTCAACCTACCTGTCAAAGACAACAATATGAGAGGCAGTCGTCCGTTGGTGTCACTCCACGGACCAATGAACAGTGAGAGCAGAGATGGTACGAATGCCTCTATCATGCTACGAGCCATGATGATATTAGCTGTACTCTGTTGGACCAAGCCTTCAGTACTGGGACTGACCGGGTCTGTGCAGTTCTCTTCTCGGAACTCAAGTATAACCAGGCATGTGTTCCTCTCGAGTAGGTTTACGATTATCATATCTGCGAAAGAAGACAAATGTTATCAAAGGTGACATCTGAATTGCAATCATTGACTTTTGGGATGCTGAAGTAGATATATCTTCTGTATGGACCAGCTGTATCCATAAAAAACCTATATGATACATAGCCATAGAATAGCCTATGCCACAGTCAAGAAATTATATTTTCGCCTGTTGTATTTAACTAGAACATGAAAGATACAATAGTTTCAATCAGTTGACCTTACAGGTTGGTTGTTTGAAAAGTTTGTGTGTTGACAGATGTCAAAAATTTTAATCATTGAAATCGGTCAATGGCTCGATTAAACTATGACTAAATGGAATGTCTAGACCTACCCGTAGTCAACTAAATGTAAACATTTAGTAGAGTGATTTTTGGGCTCTCAAAACTATTAGTAGTATCATTGACTTCTAGTACTGGAAGGAAGTTAGACGTTTTTATTAACTTAACTGATATTCAGCCAATTTGAATTTGATATGTAAAGAATTACCTAGAAGAAATTTCGATATCTAAACAACTCAACAGTAACTAAGTTGAGGAAACTTTAAAAGAGTTTTTATTTGAAAATCAATCTTCAGAAAATTCAACCAGCAGAACAACTAGTTAGGAATTAAAGGACAGATAAAATTTAGTGTTTCTTTTGCTATTCACACTGTCAACAAGTTTCGATCTTAACTTTCTAATGTCTATTCTAATGTTTTTAATTTTTAAGGGAAAAGTCTGAACCTTGGTTTTGTTCTATAAACAAGCAAACTATAAGATTTTACTTATTTTCCCAAGAGAACTTTAAATTTACAATACAATATTTAACATATTTCCATAACCAACAACTGTACAAAAACACTACCTACCTATTGAATTATTTATTTTTTAACCTCTACAAAATAGTTTGGAAAGAGATTGCAGAATTGTATATCTTATGGGTCAAAATGGGGAACCCAATTTTTATCCCGAAAACCCTCCATAAACCCCCAATCCCATAGTTCAACCATGAAGGTTCTCAAACTGGTCCAAAGGAATGAAGGTTTAGACGTTTGTGCCAAATTTTACTTAAATCGGATGATTTTTGCTTGAGTTATCGTGTTAACGGACATATATGAATTTGAACGGAGGGTGATTTTGGCCTCTGGGGAAAATAAAAAAAGTAAATCGGTCCCGGGTCTACCTTAAAATGAGACCTACGGTAATAGCTTATTCCCTATATGGGAAATTCGCTAATACATGTCCATCAAAACAATACAGTAAAACCTTGATAACAAGACTCTCATGGGGATTGTAAAATAAGACTTGTTATCAAGGTTGACTTCTTTTCGAGGTTTGTAATAACATGTTATTAGAGGTAAAATAATTTTAAGGGGATTTGAAAATGACACTTGTTATCAAGGGTGACTTGTTATTGAGGGTCTTCATATCAAGGTTCCACTGTATTACCATAGCCTCCTCTAATACAAGGCTGTGGTGAGACACAAGTGGCAATGCTGCAGAACCCGTACTGAAACAGCTGTCTTTTATTTATATATGTGACGAACAGCCTAAGTAGATACAATGAAGGTATCACCGGAAACAGTATGAACAAATCAGTTTACAAAGTGAGTCAGAACTGCATGATGATGCTTTTCTTCTTCAGAGTTGATAAAACGTTATCTGTGTTGTCATTTGACCCCACTGATAAGTGTGGTCAGAAGTGGGCTACACTAAATGAATTTTCAAACTTAATTTCAAAAGACAAATCACATTTCACACCTAATAACAAATTACAAAAAAATATACTCAACTTTAAACACTACTCAAATATTTAGCTGATAAAATATTGTCTTTGGACATCTTTTACTGTAGAACTATGGATTTACCATTTTACTCCTCATAAAATTGCATATTTAAAAAATAACTAAAACTTTTTAATAATAAAACTTTTAATAATAAAAATAAAACAAAGCGCGGAGAGCAGAGTCCACTCTCCTCTTGTCTCGAGTAGTTAATCGGTACTATTTCCTAAAAGCGGAGCGGATCACCATTGGAAGAGCGGGAAATCGCTTCCAATTATCGTTATAAAATAATAATATTTGTTAGTGTGTCTATCGGGGTTACGCTATTGGTTTACACTGAGCAAAACAACATTTACAATTTTAATCAGGAAGTTATTTAACATAACAAGATAGTATTTTATCAACTGCTGCTTCTTGAACAAATTGTGAGTAACAATAGATTAACTTGTTCAAGGTTTATAGTGCATGATAAATGATAATGCAATAGCTGCAGTACAATGCATCTGCGTTGAAGGGTGATTTTGCAGCAACTGGTGTCTCGTAATAAAATTAGATCTTTTTCTACACCTAAAAAAGAAGGCTACAAAATACACCTTAAAATAGTTCAAATACAGCCCTATTTGATAAATTGTACTTCTTAAATTGTATTCTTCAGTTTCTGTGGGAACACTGGGTTTTCCGTTCTGAGTCAAGCATATATTTTACTTAGCGTTTGCAAAGATGAGCGATTGAAAATTGACAATTTGGTTACAATCAAGGGTGTTGTTCACGGTTTTGCCATGACCTCTGAGCTAAAAGCTAAGATTTTTTATGGTTGTAGGCTACCATACAATAGCCTACACTCCAAAACCGCTGATGTGCAGGTTTTTTAAGATCCCTAAGAATGGTGTGAATTCATGACTATAACTAACATGGTGCAATAATTTTCTTACCTGAAAATGTTTTGCCCAAGAAAAATGTAAACATCACTAATTCCAAAGTTAGGCCTTTTCTTGTTGGTTTCCTTATAATTGTTTCGTCCGTCAAAGGACACTTGACTTCCCCACTCAAATCCATCTGTAAAAATGCATTGCAAGTGATAAGTTAAGGTGATCAGTGTAAGAATATTCCCTGGTTTCTCAAGTCATACAATCCTTATCTTAACTAATAAACTGTCCCCAAATTGTATAAATTCTAAAAGTTAAGATTTCAGGCATTCTATAGTAAAATAAGCATGAAGATGAAAAATGAAGAATATGCCCTATTATTTATTTAAATAGCTTAGAAAACACAACTTAACTAAGTGTGGAAATATTTGTTTTGTCTTATTTTGTACCTTTGTACCGTGATTTTAAACACCTTGATCAGAAATTAAAATCAAGTAGACTGTACTTGTGGGATGTTATACTTTGGAAAGATGTATCTTAAGAAAACTAGAAGAATTGTTAAAAGTCTCTATTAAGCTAGCAAGACAATAAATCATCCACAAAACATATGATATGGTACCTAAGTAATTATTTGTCTGGGATAGCCAAGTAACATAACTTAGTTTAGTGTTTACTTTCAAATCTGAAGGTTAAAAATTAGCCAAGCAAGGTTTCTCAAACAAGATGCAATCATAGGGCATATCATATCATAGGGCAATCAATAGGCATATTATTTATAATGCTATCTAATAAAAGGCAGGTGCCCAATTTTTACAAGACCAGGCTTTGGACCATTCACTTAACATACATCCATTAAAAAATGCAGATCGTGCATTCCTAATGAACACATTACAAAAAATTTAAAAAACTTCATCTCCTTATTCTGTTATACAAGCAGTAGGCCTACACTATCCTTCAATATAAGCGAGCACAATAGTGTAGGCCTAGTTGGTCTGCTAGTTTACGCTCGGGATAGTTTGCCTCACCATGATTCGAGCTTGCCTGTGCTCAAAATTACTTCTGTTTTTGGGATGAGACAAAGGAGATGAGCAAAAGTGAGCATAGGTGAGCGCCGAGTGCGAGCACACACATACTTGTCTTCGTTCAGTACCGTCCAGTCTTCGTCAACTTTTCTCTTGATCAGTGTGTTGGAGAGTAGTGCAATTGTTACAGAGTCGACAAACGAAGAAACACTTCTCTATCAAAATAATAACTTACCATGGTGAGGCAGCAGTTTTATAAAAAACCCATCCCGATTAAGATGCAAACTTTTACACTAATTTTTTACTAGGCTTTTATTGAGTAACAAGATCCTAATTAAATGATTTTTTAATGCACTGGAAGATAAGTTAATACCTTTTGGACCCTGTAGTTTTTTGTACCATTCATATGCTAGCCTATTTTTGTAAATCTGAGTGGTACTCTACTCTTTGTATCTAGGCTATTTCTAACAGCACAATTAAGATTCACCTGTAGTCACCAACTTCCTTCTCGATTCAAACCACCGTTTAATCATACATGTGGGGGCTAATGGGAGAGCTCGTGATTCACGTAGGCCTATGGTAGCATTTTAACGTCGCAACGTGAATTGAAAATTCGGCAGAACATTTGGCCGAACACTCAGTGATAGTGTACTACTAGCATTAAGTCTTAGTAATAACTTAATCAGGCCTATAACTTTGGAGTGTTTAACACGTTCGCTGCGGCACGTCAAATAGCGGGCGTATCCCCAGTGCAGCGCAGCCCTCAGCGTCGAGTAAACCCGATTGCCGCGTGTGATTGGCCTTTTCAATTTTGGTCTGACGAATAGCAAATAACGTGAGGGGATGTCCTGCTTTACAACGAGAGTCGATGTAGTTCGCCAAACACCCACAGATAGCAGCACTGCTTGGAACGTAGCCGGTCCCATTGGAATTGTATTGCCAAATGGAGGGAAAAAGACGGGACAAAAAGAAGACTTTTGAGATTTCCAGACGGGGATTTTACAGGGAAATTTACTACCATCCTACACCACAACAAAATGCAAGTCACATACTACACGCTAACGTCGTATAGGTCCGCTTTCGGCCGACGCTAGAGCAAAAATGAAGATATACAAAAGGCATTACCGAGCGTTCCCGATGGGGTACGGACGCACCGTACGGGGGCCAAGCGCCGTACCCGATCGGGAACGGCCGCACTCTACGTGTTAGGCTAACTTACTTTGTTTGAGTTTTATGCCACATGGGATAACTAGGCTCTATGTTGCAACGGAATGTGCCAAACTCACATCAAGATAAGATCTTCGAAGTTAACTAAGAATAAGTTAAGTTAAGCTGTCCAATGAAAAAGTCAGCGTCAGAATCGACCCGGTTTGGGATTGACATAAGTTAAGTTAGGGTTTCTTAACTGGGCTACCGTACGCTAATAGCCTATTGATTGAAACTATCGATTTGATTAGTAGGCCTAAACCTTCATGCGATTTTTTCACCATCAGCAAGTTTGGTTGGTTAGGTTAGGTTATGATGGTTTTATTTTATAATAAATAATTTCCTAGATATATTTAAAAATATCGATTATTAATCAATATTTTCAGTTCGATAGTTTCAATCGATATTAGCGTAGTCCAGTTAAGAAACTGTACCCTTGACATAGGCCTAGCAAACTTTAAACATGAAGGAGATCTCCAAGATCTCCGAGATCCTCTCGATTATTTAGATACCTAATTATACTAGGCCTAGTTATCAAACTCTTCACACTATGAACTACTGCAACTGGCATCAACATAGCTTAATGTATTGCCATCGATCATATATCACCATTACCGATTTCTTAGCCTACCTATCTTAAATTGCCACACAAAAGGATGTAATTTAATAAGTGCAATAAAAACAAGCCTAAACATTAACATTTGGTAGCCTAATAATAACATCCTTACCTTCAACTTGGTTGGCTAAGATAGGATGTAGCTGGGGTTATGACATTACAGTTTTTCTCAATGAAATTTGCTTTATTTTTGTTTGTATATGCCTAAATGTTTATACTGTCATAACATTACATAATAAACTAGGTCTAAACAAAGAAGATAGATAACCTTACACAAAACTAAACAATAAACATTGTAAGTACAATACAAAGTACGTGTGTACGACCAATCAACAACCTATCCCTATCTCACGACGACGACGACAATTTGGACAATCAGATGAAATTGCAATGGTTTTTTTTAACAATCTGAGTCTGACAATCATCTGTTTAGTGTTTACGTGGTATGTAAGGGCAGGCAATTTCCGAGTTCATTGAGTTTACAAATTATAGTAGGTATAGGCAATGTAAAAACTCTTATTATAGAATTATATCATGACCTAGATAGGGGTTTCTATTGCAACATTTTTAGTTGTCCCCCGAATCCCCGACTTTCAAAAATTTTTAATGTAGACCCCCTTTAAGTGACACTTTATTTTGAATTGTTTACAAAAACTTAAAGAATAGTGAAAACCAGAGCTCGCTATCTCTTCTCTATCCAAAATGGCAGCCAATATTAACAATTATTGATTTTCCACATTTGATGGGCTACCATTTTGGATAGAGAAGAGATAGCGACCTCTAGTTTTCACCATTCTGTAAGTTTTTGTAAACACTTCAAAATGAGGTGTCACTTGAAGGGGGTTTACATTTAAAATATTTGAGTTGCCCCCCAAATCCCCCCTTTTGAGGGGACACTCAAAAATTTCAAAATTATAAAATCGAAACTTCCTGCTAAGATTGCTCGACCACCAAAAGGATATCTATTCATTATTCATTATTCATTAGCCTTCGTCGTTGACCCTCTGGTGAGGGAATAGACTGCGTCGTTGTTTAATACGGAAAAAAGACACAAAAACAAAGACTACACGAACATATAAAATAAAACTGTGAATTAAACATGGCGGGCAGGCAGTAGGCGGTACAAAAATTAATTGTCCCGCTCCAAATTGTCCTTAAAGAATTCCTCTACTTTGTAGTTTGGTCTATTGATCATCAAGTCTTTCACAGCACTCTTGAACTTCCGGTCGTCCAGACATCGAATGCTGGAAGGGAGTCTGTTGAAGAACTTGATGGCTGACGTAGGGAAGGAATTGAGCGTCCTGCTCAATCTCGCACAGGGAACATCGAGATCCTTCCTAGCTCTGGTATTATGGGCGTGGATGTGGCTTCTGGTGTTGAGAAGAGGAACACTGCATTTTATTTCAACCAGGCAGGCGTAGATGTAGTGGCTGCAGACGGTTAGAATTCCAAGTCTCTTGAATATCGGTTTGCAGTGTTCTCTAAAAGGGCTCCTTGAGATTATACGGACTGCCGCTTTTTGAAGCTTTAAGACTTCCTCCACTTCCGACGCATGACCCCAAAGGTGTAGTCCATACGCAATGTGCGAATGAAACAGGGCATGGTATAACATGAGCAGGTTCTGCTCCGTGACACATTTCCGGAGGCGCCTGAGGAGACAGTTGACTCTCGCAAGCCGTGTGGCAACATAGGCAGCATGGTCATTCCACCCAGACAGCACACTTTCTCCTCAGGACATCCCACGGATATTGCGACAGGATATGCAAGATATCCCATAGTGGTCCTATGGGCAACTTGGGATATCACAGGATATCCACAGGAATGCCTAATGTCCCCGCCCGGGGATGTCCTACGGATAAGCTCACACGCATATCCGTGGGACATCCGAGGTCATCCCAGGGTAGTCCTCAGGACATTCTCAGGACATATGGGACTACTATGGGATGTCCCTGGGATAAAGTGTGGTCTGGGCCTGAATGCTGATGTAAGGATGATGTCGAGGCATGAGTTCCCTCTGGTTGGGATTTCGTTGGTAATAAATAAGCCACACTGTCTTGTCAGAAGCTTGAAAGTTTTCTCCTCACTGGAGCTGGACAATATGTCAACATTAAAATCACCACATACAACAAGATTACAAGACAAAGAAGACAAATAAATAATACATTTCTCAAAGATCTCGCAAAAGCTATCAAATAGAGCATTGATAGGAGACCTATAAACAGATGCGACCACAATGTCGAAGTCCGCAACTCGGATGGCAGCTACTTCACAGACTTTTTCTTCACAGAAATTTTCCAAATTAATCGTAGTGAAAGTCAGTTCTTTATTTATATAAAGTGCAACACCACCGTTTTTTGCAGTACTCCTACAGAAACTTGTGGCCATTGTCATGTTACTAATACTATGGTAGTACATAACCTCATCATGTACCAGCCAATGCTCAGACACACAGAGAATATCCAAGTTTTCGTCATCAGCAAAGATTTCAACACTGTCAAATTTGGTTCTCAAACATTGGACATTCAAGTGACCAATAATTAGGGAGCTTGGATTATTTGGTATGACTACCCCACTGAGGCTAGTGGATGCTTCTGTTTCCCTAAAAAAATCCGGGACTCAATTTGTGTAGGCCTAGGCCTATATGGTGTCTGCTAGGTCTGGCTGGTAAAAATTTCCTTACAAATATGTTTGTTGGCCAAAACTCTGAGGTTAGAATCTCTGTATATTTGCTTGGAAAAATATTAGAGGGGGGGTCTTGACTTTTTATTTACCCTGTATGTGGGTGGACGGCCCCTTATTGGCAGTGCAGTGGGTAGGGGTGGGTGGTTCATACCGGTACTGAAAAGCAATTAAAGATTAAAGGCAAGGTTTTTTTTTATTAAAGTTCTTAGCCAAGACCTGACCAGTTCTATGGTTGTGCACAGAGAAATTTTGGCTGATCTGTTGCCTGTTTCTTCAACCAGGGGTGGACTTGATGACCATGTGGGGATTCGACACTTAAGAGTTAGCTTGACTGCCTAAATTTTGTGGGATGTCATACAATATAAAAATTAAATTATTAAAGTTTAATGAATTTTTAAATCTCATCGGGTTGTGTTTCAAAAAGTTGATTTCCAGCTTATATTTTCAGCCAGACTCTCCCTCTTTCAAAATATTCCTCTCTTGTCCAGTTGCCTGAAAGATGCCAAGGCCATTTTCTTTTTAGTCTCAGAATGCCTTTTGCCATCAGCAACAAGAAAACTTTAAATGAGAGCATTGTTGAAGTCCAAAAAGATAAGTTGTCTCAACCTGAACAGTGAACAAATCTAATGCCACTTCATGTTTGCATGGCAATAAGACTCATCACTTTATCAATCATCTTAATTGTTCTTTTAGAGATGAAAATCTGCTTCAATCCTAATCGGTTTTCTTTAATTGTCATAGGTATAACTAATATAAATTCAGGCTGTTGCCATTGAACGCTCTTTTTTGTTATGCAAAAGAAAAGGGAGCAATAATATTTTCTCTCCGTCTCGTAACTGCAGGACTTTTTGGCAGTCAATAGCACATTTGAATTGTAGGATTGTGATATTTATATTTTAACTGGGACATGGGTTTGTAGTTACCTCATTTGACACCTAGAAACTTCGGTGCATAATTTATATTCTTCAAACTACTGAGCTGTGTGTATGGTAAATTTTGTGATTTGAACCTAGAATCCATCAGAATGACAACATAACTATTAATTGATATTGTTCTCTTAAAATCTCTACCCATTTTTAGACATCCGCACTCCGCAAGCAGCCTCACATAACACAAGTCAAAATTTATTTATAAGTACCAAGCAATAATACCGAATACCCATGCCGTGATGGTAAGTGACAATGTTTGTGGCTAGTTGTCCTTCATTTATGACCGTGTGGACCCATAATACTGTCACAGCAAACAAAACTGCTTGTTTAGTAATTTTCTAAATTTTACGACAACTGTAAAGTTACCTACAGCATACGCGACACTGCTAATGCAAACAAACAACAGGTTTGCTGTCGACAGCCTAAACTTGAATTTTTTAATTGCGTTTGGATACATACATGAGTTGTACATATTTATGTTTACTTTCAGAGAATATTTTATCGGTGTACAACTCTATACTCTCTTTAAAATTTCAACAGTACCGGTATTGCTAGTATAAATAGGTGTACCGTAATAGCTTTGTTATATTTTGCAAGGTATCTATGGTAATTTAAATAATCTAAACAAACATAAGCTTGTTACAGTATTTATGTTATCATCAGAATATTTTTCCATTACATTCCATATATTTTTGCTAAAGCTTAAAAAGAATGTTCCTGTACAACTGCTGTATTGTACGACACAAACAGTGTGTTGAAGGTATTCTTAGAATGAATGAATCAATACCACTTCACACAATATGATAATGGTGTACTCTTGTTTTCCTTTGAGATGTTTTATTGTCCATCAAATCAAGGATGGATTCACTTCCAAAAGTGGTCAACAGTGATATTCCCAAGTGAATTTGTGCGTTTCAAGACCATGATACAACCATGCATCATAAAAAATATGTTTATCTTATTTTTTACTTTCAACTGTTTTTGTGTTGTGGCTAAATTAAACCAATTAATTGACAATCCCCCTGATTTGTGGAAGGAGTTCTTTATTGAAGGGTTCTATAATTTTGACATGCTACCCGTTGCGATAATAGACATTAACAATAACAGTTTGGATTTTGTTTTGCCTAGTGTGGTGATGAATTTTACAAACTCTATATATATTTTTAATGAAACTTCTAATAATCCTGACATAAAGGCTTCGTTTTTAATATTTGGAAAAAGTAATTTTTCCAAACTACACAAGGTGTTTCTCTCTATGAACAACATGTTTAGAGAAAACTGGTCTAGAACTGTGTTTTGGTTTGGTTACCCGATTTCAATTCAAACAGAAGAGTTTATTTTTTCACAGTGCTTGCATTATTTAATTTCACCAGTTGTGATCACTTCACCTCTTGAAAACAGTGCAACGTTTAAACTTGTGAGTATAAGTTTATACTCAGTAGTTACACCTTAGTCTTTATTATATAATTGTTTATTCTTATTTGCTATTTATGTGACTATATGGGGCCTTAGCTCAAACCATGTATGTGAGTCATTTGGTGAACAATTGGCTGTATACTACCATTGAATATATAACACTCTGTTATATATTATATATTCAATGAGTTGAATATTCATAGTGTTATATATTGAATGATACTACATTTCAAAGTGGGTCAGCTCAAATCCACAACCCTCAATCCATAGATCAAGCAGCAGTGTTGATTGAAACTTGAAGAGCTCTCTAGAT